CTGCCCTGTTATCGTGGAATAATTTTTTACACTGTGAAGATGTGTCATTGTTATTGGTTTAATAAAAAGCTGAACAGACAACAGGTAGGCAGGATTTCAAGGCACAGAGGATGCTGGGCAGAAGGGGGGAGACACCAGGAGTCAGTAATGAGATGGAGAGGAGGCATGATGTGTAGGAGATAAAGTAACAAGCCATGAGCTATGTGGCAGCACAAAAATAGAAATGGAAATAGGTTAATTTAAGTTATAAGAGCTAGTTAGAAACAAGCCTAAGCCATCAGCTGAGTTTTCATAAGTAATAATCCCTGTCATTATTGTGGAGCCAGTGACCCAAATAAAAATCTGTCTACATGGTATTTTGTAGCTCAAGGTGGTGTGAAGTCTGGTTAGTCATAGTCCCACCCTGGCTGCATTTGAAAATAACCAGAGACCCTGATTTCCATGGCTTGGGCCTCAGACTTTTCCAACAGTTCCCTGGGTGACTTGGCTCCATGGGCAGGCATGAGAACCATCAGAAAAGGCTCCCTGGAATCTGTTGCTACTCGGTCTGGTCCAGGGGGTAGCAGTAACATCACTGCTGAGAGCATCTTAGATACACAGCCTTCTAGCCTCACTTCAGCTGCTAGCCCACAATCTTTTTAGCTAAATCCCAGACAATGGAGAGTGAGAAGATCATAGCTGCTCTCAGAAGCATAGACAAGGGAGAAGCAGGCTCTCTGCCTGGAAGTCCTTAGCAAGGCCTATCTCTTGCATGTGTTTGTTCTCCCTGGAGTGACAGGTGATAAACACCTTGAGCCAGGTAACCACAAATGTTAGGTGTCTTCCCGTCTATGTAGGGGAACAGCTGATCCTCATTGGAGGGGTAGCTGCTGGGCTCTTCAGCATGATTAGAGCCAGACTGGGCCAGCAGCTGAGAATCTTGTGTGCCTGACTCAATCCTGTGTGCTGATACAATGAGCCTGCCCAGAAAGGGACAGAGGGTTAGATTCCCTATGTGCCAGAGTACAAATCCAGTGCTGGACTTGGTGGTGAATGGTTGATACTCAAGCTACTTGGAAGCCTGAGGCAGGAGAATGTCAAGTTTAAGTTCAGCCATGGCTACAGAGTGAATTCAAGGACAACCCAGGTAACTTAGTGAGATCCCATCTTACAATAAACACGAGACCAGGGAAATAGCTGTGTGTAGAGTACTTGCTTAACATGTGTGATGCGTGAGGCTCTAGAGCGAACCCCCAGTATTTCAAAGAGGAAAAAAGAAAAGGAATGAATAATGCTGAAACATTATTATGGGGGAGGGGAGGGAGATGGATAAGAGGCTAAGAGCAGGTACTGTTCTTGTAGAGGGACCGAGTTTGGTTCTCAGCACCCACATTTGCCTGTAACTCTAGCTCAAGAGATCAGACAGCTTCTCAACAACTGCATGTAACTCCAGCTCAAAGGATCTCTCCCTCCTCCCCACCACCCCACACATAACTTCTCAAAAGAAGAAAGGGGCTGGAGAGATGGCCCAATGCTTAAGCATGCTTACTGCTCCTACAGAGGGTCCAAATCAGTTTCTAACACCCTCATGGCAACTCCCAAAACCTACAGCTCTGTTTCTTGGGGGTCTGATACCAACATCTGGCCTCCATGGGCACTGCATGCTCATATGAACATATGAAATACAATGAAATAAATCTTAGAAAGGAGGGAAGAAAGGGCTGGAGAGATGACTCAGAGGTTAATAGCATTGGCTGCTCTTCCAGAGGTCCTGAGTTCAATTTGCAGCAACCACATGGTGTCTCACAACCACCTGTAATGAGATCTGGTGCCCTCTTCTGGCCTGCAGGCACACATGCAAGCAGAACACCATATACATAATAAATAAATGATTTTTAAAAATAAAAATAAAACCAGAAAGAAACCAGGTGGAGTGGGTACTTGGAGGCAGAGGCAGGAGGATATCTTAGTTGGAGGCCAGCCTGGTCTACAGAGTGAGTTCCAGGACAGCCAGGGCTGCACAGGGAAACCCTGTCTCAAAAAACCAAAAGAGGATGGAAGTAAGGAGGAAGGCAGGGAGGAAAGGAGGAAGGGAGGGAAGGAGGAAGGGAAGAAAGAAGAAAAGGAAGAAAAACAGGCTATTGGGCAGGAGGAAGAAACGAGTTGGGAGGCAAACAGGCACTAACCTGTGGATTAAAGATGCCTTTCTTTTCTGGTCCATAAAGTTTCTTTGGAAGGAGACCCAGTTGCCCAAGCAGCCACATTAAGGTGAGCTCATAATCTGTGCAGTTCCTTCCAAGAGAGGTTAGTCCTTCCGCAGGACCGCAAAGCCGCACACAATTAGGGCAGAAGTGCATACAGCTGGCTATGAGGAGTCAGGTGAGGCTCCAATGACTATCCCCACTCCCTCTTACATTAGTAATGCTAACAGTCAACAAGCCCAGCTGTGACGACCTTCTGTAAGCACACTGCTGACTTCATAAAGATGGACTTGTTCTGCTTGGAGAATCGTGCTGACATGACAGCAGGGGCCCTTTGAATGCAGTGGGTGCTCAAAAATGATGGATGTGTACATGTGCGGTGTGAAAAGCTCAGGACAGGACTCATCCACAAAGCACCAAGGGGCCCTAGAGAGGAAGTAGGTCATGGAGGATTGTGGGTTCTGAGTGCCCCTACATCCATTTTCCCAGCTGCCAAGAGACTCCAGTGAAAGGCTAGTTTCCTTGGGTTTCGTGCGAGTAAAAAGAGAGGAGGCCTGGCTATTTTTGAACAGTGCAGTGTCAAATGAGAGCTATCAAGTGTTTTCTCTGTGTACCAACTCCCTGGTGATAGCCCTGTGAAGCCCTCTTCAGCTCTCACAGCTTGAACAAAAGGGGCTGGGTGACCCCAGCCCCAACCCCTGCCTAGAACTGGGACAGATTCTGAGCTTTACCATGCCTTAGGCTGGTGAGATAGCTAAGTGGGTAAAAGTGCTTACCACCAAGTTTGATGACTTGAGTTTGATCCCCATGCCCCATGTGGTAGAAGGAGTGAAGTGACTATTGCAAGATGTCCTGTGACTCCCACACATGGCATGGCACACTGCATGTGCACATGAGTGTATGCACGCTATGCAAACAAATAAATAAAAAATAAGTATAAAATTAATTCTTCAAGGGGCTGGAGAGATGGCTCAGAAGTTAAGAGCTGGCTGCTCTTCCAGAGGTCCTGAGTTCAATTCCCAGCAACCACATGGTGGCTCATGACCATCTGTAATGAGATCTGGTGCCCCCTTCTGGCCCACAGCTGTACATGCACATAGAACACTGCATAATAAATAAATCTTTAAAAAGACACTTGTTCCAAAATAAATTTTAAAAAAAATCAATTCTTCAAAAACAGCATATTCTTCACACCTTTAATTCCAGCACTCGGGAGGTAGAGGCGGGTGGATCTCAGCGTTTCAGGGAGTCTTGGTCTACAGAGAGAGTTCCAGGCCAGCCGGAGCTATACAGTGAGATCCTGTCTGATACAACAAACAAACAAAACAACAGCAGCTACAAAAACTGTACACCCATTTTCTTTTGTTCCATAAAGGTTACTTTAACTGTTATCACTGCCTATTCACTCACAAAGCTTCCTTTGCATTTATATATCTCTTCATCTGGACTAAAGACAGAGAGAACTTGAAAGTGCTAAACAGTAGTGCACTCTCTATGTCTTCTTGGCTCAGAGCTTTATTTTCACTAAGGCCCATGGTATCCTCATGTGGTCCTAGCTGTGTAGGGCAGTTTTAATTCTGCAATTCTTTTTTTATTAAATATTTATTTTATGTGTATGATGTTTTACCTACACATATGTCCTTGCACTTGTCTGCAGAAGCCAGACAAGGGTGCCAGATCTCTTGGAACTAGAGTAATAGAGGGTCTTGCTCTGCTGTGTGGGTGCTGAGAACCAAACTGCGTCCTCTGTAAGAGTGGCAAGCGCTCTTAACCTCCGAGCCACCTCTCCAGTCCCACAATTATATATTTTATAACACAGGCTCAGTTCATATTTTTCAAGCTTTATAAAACCAAACCACTTACTATTTGGATTATAGCAGTAGTTCTCAACCTTCCTAATGCTGCATACTTTAATATAGTTCCTCATGTTGTGACTTCAACCACAAAACTATTTTGGTTCTTAATTAATAACTGCAATTTCGCTACTGCCATAAACCATAATGTAAATAACTGATGTATAGGATGTCTGATATGCAACCCCCATGAAAGGGTCATTCTACCCAAAGGGTTTTGACCCACACTTTGAAAATCACTGGATTAGAAGACTCGTCTGATGTCAGATCTGAAAGTATATGCAATGGACTATGAAATATTTTTTTCTCTCCAAACTCTTTTCAAAAAAAAAAATGCAAAGACACTCCCATCCAAATAAAACATCCACTGGCCAGCCTTCTGTTGGAACAAAAATCTTCCTTGGGGACTGATAATGACAAACCAGGCTGAGGATGTAGAAGTCTATGCACAGACTGCTCAAGCCTGGCACCACCAAGCCATTTCTGCTCAGAAGGACTTCCTGGAGATCAATGTTGACTTCTCTGCTAAACATTTTATGAATACCTAATTGATATGACCTGAGTTCCTGGGCACCCCTTCAGCCAGCTTCTGCAGCAGCAGCAAAAAGGGGGGAGGGGAGCTTTCTTGTCTAGATAGCAGTGAACCTGGCAACCTATCCTCCACCTCATGGCTACTTCCTTCCAGTCACTTGTTGGTCAAGTGATGGGAATCATTTCTGTTATCTCATGAGCTTTCAGGCTCTCAATCCAGACTCTTCAATAAGTCTAATCTTAAAGGACTGGAGGTATGGCTCAGAGGTTCAAAGGGTTTGCTTAATGTATGCCAGACCCTCAGCTCCATCCATACCACTACCAACAATCAACTGACAAATAAATAACTAAACCCCAAATCAGAGAAAAAAAGGGAGGTAGAGAGAGAGTTGAAATGCAATACCCTATTCATGATATAGGAAACATACAACTTACATCCAAAGGTGATTAATTCTCTTTATTGGAGGAAAACAAGAAGTCATCAATCTCATTATCATTATGATAGAAATCGATATGTATACATGATTGTCAAGGCAGAGAATCATTTGCTACATAGACCCATGAACAATTTTGCAGTGCCGCAAACCTATGGGGGGGGGGTTAAACTTCTTGCAGAGTTTATTACATGCATGGGATAAATGCACAGTTTCCCTTCTTTTACTTTTTAAAAAAAGTTTTTTTTTTGTTTTTGTTTTTTCCTTTTGGACAAGCATGTATGAAAAAAAAATCAAACCAATTGCAAGCCTGGTAATAGTGAGTGGGGCCAATCCTGGGTTTGATTATGGAAGCTGTTGGGAAAACATGCCCACTGTTGGGAGAGAGCTGGATGAAGGCCAATTACATCATACATAGCCACAGAAGCCAATTTAGACATTGATCCAATGGATGTTCTGGAAAGAATGTACCTTTGGTGTCTTCTCACCTGAATGTGGGACTAAGATAAATTTTCACTGACACATGCAGTCTTTCAAACTGAAGATGCTGCTGTGATATTAGGCGGCATGTCACATTGCCCAGAAATGAATGGTCAAGTGTCTTGCAAGGAGAACCACAGCTTCCCCAGTATGGGACAAACATCTGAGATGATGCTAGTCCCTTCTTCATCTCTTTTGTAGTCTGACTGCCAGCTCTGCCCCCAGGGCTTTGTCCTTCAAAATGCAGGGTTATCCAGGAGGGCCTCAGAATCCTTGTCTCTTCAAACTAAGAACTTTTCCATTGAGAAGCAAGTTAACTAGTGTTTGGGACTTATGAGTGATGTCTCTGATAAAAGTCTCAAACACATTTTTCATTTTCTATTTTTCCAATCCATAAGGAAAATAAAATCACCTGTAACAGTTTGGTAAATCATCAGAGGACACGATAATCATATAACAAATTTCCCAGAGACAAAGAAGGTTAAAAATGGGTATAGAGAATGCAAAAGCAGCTTTAGTACAAGGGGTCAATGCAATTGTCTGTCCCTTTGGCTTAGAAAAATACAGACACAGAGAAGCCATTCCACAGTTTGCTTTGTCCACAAAATCAGACTCGGCAGCCACATGCTGAACTGAATGCTTGGCTTCCAAATGCGCAGCCTTCAGGTTTGCAAAAGAAGAAACCCTAAAGCCACAAGCTGAGCTGCTCCCACTGGAGTTTACAGGGAAGTCTACACAGGGCTAAGTTGTCTCTGTGGATTGTGAAGACTTTGACTGCTGGCAGAAGGCAGGCTAGGCTGTGGTCAACATGCAGGGCCAACTTCACAGTGGGGCTGGGTTCCTGTGCACACACCAGAGCAGCAGGCAGACCTTGATGCACTGAGACCACCAAGAAAGGACCCGGTGGATGGGGTATGGCCTTTCCTCTTCCTCTCTTCCTTAGACATGTCTGTTACCCAGGGCTGAAGTTTCCAAGCTACCTCCCCTGCACACAAATTTTTGTAGAGGTAACAGAAAGTAAATTTGCCTTTCAGAAATCTGCTTCCCCAGCTTGGCTTAAAAAACAACCAACCAACCAAACAAACAAACAAAAAAGAAACACCTCAAAACTTTCAATTCTGAAAACTTAAGGATTGGAATGCCTTTTCTGCTTGCAGTCCCAACTTAGGACCAGGTAACCCCTTAAAGAACAGCAGACTACATACAGATATATACATTAGTTTTTAATGTTGGAAACAAACTGAACAGTGTTTGGTCTGGAATGTGTTTAAGGAAAAGACAAATTACCTAGCCCTGGTTCTGTAGGACATGCAAGTGGGGCCCGCATCTCACTTGCTGGGAGTGATTGTGCAAACCTGGTTATGAAAAACAGAACTAGCTGTCCTTCACCAGCCCTCACCTTCCTTTCTCATGGCCTAGGAAAACCCAGCACCTCACTTGTGAAAATCTTGCATGGAAGAGGTGCTGGCCCCAGGTCTCCTGTCTGCAGCCTGGAATGATGGCACCAGTATGGTTACCCCAGCGAGAAAGGTCAGTTCTGGCCATAGTTCTCAGTAGGCCACAGGGTTATGATTCCCAGATCTCTAAAATCCCAGCCATTCCCACTTGGTGGGCTTCCACTATTTAAACATGCTCATGAAACATCAAACCCAAGTGCTGACCATACCAAGTTTCACATCCCATAGGAGGTCAACCCTTTCGAGAGGGGACCAGCTTGTTCCTTCTCCAGTGTCCACAATGTTCTTGGCCTATGATGTAAAGGCCAGTTCACTCTGCCACTTATAAGCTATCCAGTGGGCATTAAGGTGTAGAAACAAAAAAAGCATAAGTAAGTAAACAGAGTCTGGGATTCACTGAGCTAACTGCTGTGTTCTGCAGATACCACATTCAGAGATTTCTGAAGATTGGAAGTCTCTCAAAACTGCAACTTAATGTGCAAATGGAGGCAGCTGTCTTCTTAAGGAGCCATCTTAGATGAAGTCGGGCACAGTTGAAGTGGTAAGCCACTCACGGTGGCATTTTTGAAGTGATCCAGAATCAAACTCAGGGGTAGGAATCCATACCTTTTGGGTTGTTTCAATGCCTTCTCCAGAGTCCAGTGAGTGGCAGCTGCTCTTATGGAGTCAGAGTCCCTTTGGGGTGAGAGGCAGTAGGAAGGGGTAAAAAGCAGCCAGTGCTTGTTACAAAGGCCCTTGACACTGCAGTTGTTGCCTCAGTCACTGAGCAGCTCTCATTTCCTTAAGGGTTTTGTGGTAGACCCTGCTTTCCAGCCTCCCACTGTCTCTGTCCCTCCCTAAATCCCATACAAAACTCCAACCCCACAGATCCCATGGTTAGAATGACAAGCTATCGGCCTTGTTGAAGCTGAAGATGGCTCCATACCTTTTCACTGTTGGTTTTAGATGAATGTTACCTGCCCTTCCTTCCTGGGTGAAGGCCAGGGAAAGAAGGCGGGTCAGGCAGGAAGCAGAAGGAAACACTATTCTGGAAATACTTCAAAATTTCATAACCAAGTAAAGAAATAAATATCCACTTGCTCAGGAAATGCAAAGAGCTATAGTGGGGGTGGTGGCAAGAGCTTGATATTAGGAAAGCAGTCTGATAGGGTCCTGTGTGTCCACATGCGTGAAATGCTCAGCCTATGCCAGTGGAATCTAATAAGAGTAAGGAAGCCAAGACTTTGCCACCCCATTTTCCAGGTGTGAATACTAAGTCTACTCCAGGTCTTATATATTATTATAAAATGACACCAACATGGTCTTTCTACCATGCTGACTTTCTTAGAGTAGAAGACTCAGGTGGTACTTATTTTCACCTTTCTTAAAACAGTAGGAAATAACCCAAGTTAGTGACATTATGTATGTGCTTCCTGAAGACATGTACAACCTTATCTGCTACTGGGCTGAAACTAGCAATCATCTTATCCCAGTTCATGGAGACCTGATGTGTCAAGTTTGAATCCAGCATAGTTGATTGAAAGGTAGACACCTGTACCAGGGCTCATTCTTCAACTTTTCTGTATTTATTTGTAGTCTGTGTACCTATATATCAGCTTTATGAACTTCCATTGCTAATAATAATGTTACTTTGTAGATGCAAATAGTTATGTGTACCATACAGCATAAAGGGTTAACACATGAAAGGTGTCAAACTCAGGTAAAATTGCCTACTGCAGCAACCAATCAACCTACCTCCTTTCTTCCTTTCTCCGTCCCTTCCCCCCTTCTTCCTTTTAGAGACAAGGATTTCCTAATTAGCTCAGGATGTGTAGTAACTGAGATCCTTCTGCCTCAGCCTCCCAAGTGTTATAATTATAGCCCACCAAACACACCTGTATTTTTTCTTATATTACATGAAATTAAATATTCCCATGATACTTGTTGGTAGGAAACATCCTATAAACTTCTTTAGAGATACTTCTGGATTTTCTTAAATACTGTTTGTAATATTCATATCATTGCCTTTCTGAAGGGTGGAGTAGATGTATAAGTCTCCTTACTCAGAGGCATTTGCTTTCTAATTGGGCCTGTTGTTGTTTTAGAAACTCTTCCCAGAAGTTTATAGATTTTGAAATGATAGCTTCAACTGCTACTCTTTGGGCTTGTGTGGCAGGATTCTCACTAAGCTTTTGGGAGCTTATGATACAAGTAGGACAGGTAGACCAGATGTCTGACTATGAAATTGCTTTTATATTTCTTGCACTGTGTTCTTTGGGAGACTGGAGCTGCCTCCCTAGTGACAGTATGTGTGTGTGTGTGTGTGTGTGTGTGTGTGTGTGTGTGTGTGTGTGTAAATGTATGTGTGTGGCATGTACACTGGGGAGGGCTGGGGGCAAAAGTGACACGGATGATTTACTTGCCCATCAGGACTTACTATAGCTGGCAAGTACATGAGAGGAGCATGAGACAACCTCAGGACTGTCCCTGAGCCATTAGGGAGACCTATCACAGCCCACCCTGATTGGCTTCAGCTGACTATAGACAAGGCTCAGGCCTTAGACAGACATGAGACTTAAAGGGGAATGTTGGCAGAACTGGTATTTGAGCTACCTGCCTAAGTCTCTGAGAACCTCCTCAGAGAATGTTTGCCCTGGACTACATCCTGTGCCTGCTCTCCTTGCATATCTAGTCACTGTGCAGGTCAATGACATGGACTGGTGTTCACATGACATTCTGGATTTTATCCTTCAAGTCTCCTATCCTGGGAAATTCTTCAGTCCCTGGCAAACCAGGGCATGCAATGGCCTGACTACCCCAGCTACTTTTTATTTTAGATTCCTCTGATGTAAAGGAAGGTGCACCAGGTGGACCTTGCTGAGTCAGCCATCTCTGAGGTAGGCAGTATCCTGCTCAAATGGTGTCTTTCATAACTAACAAAGGGTTTCTTCTTCCAGGCCTTTTCTGTGCCCTCTCTCTGATAATATTCATGAGAGAACAAGGGTAAAAAAAAATGTGTGTCCTAGAGGCCATTTGAAGTGTAGGATTAGAAATGAATTTTAAAAAATAAAGCAAACATGGGTTTGTTTTAAAAGTGCATAGCTGAGAACAGAGTGTCATCTATCATTCACCATGAGAAATGAGAGCTGTGTATGGTACATCTTAAAAGCAAGATGGTGGTTAGTCCAGCCTGTAAGGGAGGCTCCTAGACCCTGTGGGGACCCTGTCCCTGCAGAGCAGTTCACCTGTAATATAGAGCCTGTTGTTGAGGGCAGAGGAAATAAGCTTATTTCTTTTTTGGTTGGTGAGGGGTTCTCCAGGAAGCTGCTGGTGAGGTGTTCTGCAGGTTCCCTGCCAAAACCCACCTGGAGAGAAGCCAACCCAGGGACTGGGGACTGGGGTGACCTCACCAGGAAGGGACAGAGGGCAAAGAGACACAAGTAAAGTGCACTCAGCCTTGGAGACAGATTCTTGACCCTCTTAGAATTTTAAAAAATACCTTTTTAACTCCTCTTGGAGGGAAAAAATCTCTTAAAGGTAACACAAAATCACCATTAAAAAGCAGATGAGAGAGGTCATGTAACTGGCAGAGATCAAGACACGTCTCAAAAAGAAAAAAATCCTAATGCACAACATTTACCAATATTTAAATAATCCAGTTGAAACTTTTTTTTTTTTCATGAAAAAATACACCCTAGATGGCTGCCTACACTTGAGAGTATGGAAGTGGTGGAGTTGGGGGAGGGGAGCAAGAAGGTCCATTCAGTTAGAGCTTTGCAAGATTCGTATGTACAGCACCAGATCCTGTGAAGTCAGCTCCCCTTGAGTCAGTACAGTTTGTGAGAAATGAACACATCGGAATTGCAGTATAAAATATGGCCATAAAAAACTTCTGTCTTCCAGTCCTATGCAGGCGCACCATGCAGGGTGGGTGGGGTCTCCAATGCTGGAGCTGCTCCGGCCTGGGGCTTCCCCTTCCCCGGCTCTGCCCTCTGGGTCCCACCTCCAGAGCCGGTCACTTGCTTCCAGTGTGCCCTGTTGTCACAGTGGTGGGCCTGGGTCTCCTCTCAGCTCCGACTCCTGTGACCCCCGACGAAGAAGAAAGGAAACTACAGAGCGTGGAAGGTGCCAGACCTGCCAGTGACAACAGACATAGGTATTTATAATTAAATTCACAGTCCCGGTCCCAGAAAGAGGGTCAAATGTGCTGGGCTAGAAGGATGAAACTCGTAAGTAACTGCTAGGCACACCATCTACACACTTACATACTCTCTCTCTCTCTCTCTCTCTCTCTCTCTCTCTCTCTCTCTCAACTTGTATGTAACTGCTAGGCACACCATGTACTCTCTCTGTACATGCTGTATATTACACACTAGGATAGTATACTACTTTCTATATACTAGGCACTGGAATGGGTGTGGATTATATACCATCATTACTAGAATGTTCATTTCTTTAGTTTCTTTCATTATTTTAATTTGTGTATATATGTGTTATGTTTGTGCCTGTACAGATAACACATGGGTACATCTGTGTGGAGGCCAGAGTCAACCTCCGATAGATAAGTTTAGCTACTCTACACCTTGCTTTTCTGTCTGTTTTGCTTGTTTTTGAGACAGTTTGCTGAGCTGGTTAGGCAGTTGGCCAGAAAGCCCTAGATCTGCCTGTCTCCACCTCCCTGTGCTGGGATTAGGAGCACACAACACCACACCTGGCTGTTTTAACAGGTTCTGAGGATGAGTTGCATGACAAAGCACTTCACAGGCTGAGAAGAACAGATTATTTCTACAAGAGCTCCACGAAGTGGGCCTTTTTAGAATGAAAAAGGGAAAAAAGGGGGCCATACCCCACTTCAGGTCCAAATTTATAACCAAGGAAGCATATTGTATCACATGTCTCTGAAATGAGGGTGCTTTACTCCCTTGAAGTCTCCCCAAAGGCTTATTTTGGACAGTTTGGTCCTGTCGTAGCATTGTGGATGAATAGATCATGAACACCCTGCATTCATCAGAGGCTTACTCCACCAATGAATTCAGAGTTGAATTGACTACTGGGTTGTGGGACCTAGCTGGGGGAACTAGGTCCTTGAGGGACATTCTATTCTGCTAGCCCTCCGTTTCCCTCTTTTCTGGCTGCCACAGTAACCATGGACAGGAAGGACTGACATGAGCCAAAATAACACTCTCCTCCTGTAACACATTCTCTTGGATATGTTGTCACAGTAACAGAGAACTGACTGGCAAGGCATTGGGAGGCACTGTAGTATGCAGCAGCTGTTATGCAGCTTTGGCATGTACATCCCTAGCCACTTCGTACAGTGGACATAGGGAGAGCCATAAACTAACTTATTAAAATATGCACTCTATTAATGATGGTGTATGAATCTTTACAGAAATGAGTGGCCAGCTGTGATATTTCTTTTGGTTAAGGGTGATAAAAAAAAGGGTCTATGTTGTCAAGTGTAAGTGTGCAATTGTGTCAGAGAAGCTCATGGAGATGTTATAAGAACATTTAAGAACTGTATATAAGTTAAGAATGAATGACAAGATTAGGGGGGCTCCTTTGGGGAGGGGGAGGATATGGGGTGTCAAATCTAGGATCTTCTTAACTTTATTTCTTACTAGGCAAATGCTCTACCACTGAGCATTTTTTGAAATGGTTTTATTGTGTAGCTTGGGATGGCCTTGAACTTGGAATCCTTCACCTTCAGTGTGCCTGGATTATAGGTGTGTACTACTATACTCAGCCATGGGATGGTTTAAAAAAAAAGAAAAAAAAAAAAAAGAAAGAAAAGGAAAAGGACCCCTTTTATTAAGCCAAATAGGAAGGAGCATGGAGGTTAGGGGGATGAGGGCTGATGGGAAAGGGCTGATGGGAACTTTCAAGGCAATGGCTTTGAAGTAGAGAACAATCAATGTGCTATAGTTCGAGATTAATAAAGATGGGGAGTAGGAGAGAATTAAAAGAGCAAGTGTGCCTTCAAGGATGTCACATTCTTTACAAAGATGAAGGCCAATGTAATACCATCACTGTTGCTTTTATCAAAAAGCCAGTTTGGCACATATAGTAAGTTCAAATACTCATCGTCCTTGTAAAAACAGCAACAACAATAAAAACCCAACAAAGCACTAACTTTAGAAACCAATACAATCAGGCCATGAGGGCTCTACCATCCCCTCGTCAGCCCAGAGGGTGACTGTACAATAAAAGGCAAATCAGAGGAAGAAGAGAGGCCAGAAAGTGCCCAGGCGTTATCTCTGGTTGTGTGGTACTTATGCCATGGGTTTCTTATTTACAAATGGAAGTGATTATCACAGAGTGGGTATTAAATGCTGAGTAATGTTCTATGGTAGTCATGAACATTAAATGGGTTAGAGCATTTCATGGCAAACCGTGGGTGCTCAGCTCTCCTGCCCAACCCGGACTCATCTCAAATGCCCGCTGAAGAATTCTGGTTTTGCTACATACGCACAATCTTTTTGGCTGGCCAAACTGAGGTTGCTTGAGACACTTGCATTTGAGCTATCCAGGCTGCTGCCGAGCTGTAGCCTTCGCATATGTCTCACGACGGCTGTGGCATTAAACGCTTGCTGAAGTGCAGGGGAAAGGACACAAAAGTGGAGAGGAAGAGAACACATTATTTCCAGTAGTTGGATTTCTTCCTTTTGCTTATCCAGAAGCTGCAAGTGCTGAAAATTTTCTCAGATACTCTCAGGACACTTTAGAGAGAAAATTTCTATCGTTCTTTTCAAAAGTGCACAAATTTATTTAACTCTCTTCCCCATCAAAATACATTTTAGAAGTTAAAAATTCACTTGCTTCTAGCATGAATAATTTCCAAACAATACTCTATGTAATTACAAAAAGTCACTTTTAGAATCAAAAGCACATATAATGATATATCTTAATATGCAATGTTTTAAAGTAGTGCTTAGTTTTCTGTAATTGGTACCTTATTTTTTTTTCTTTTTTTGGCAGTAGTAAGGACTGAACCTAGAGCTGTGTATAAGCTAAGCAAATATTCTAACAACTCTCTTTTTACTTTTTAATTTTTATTAAATTATCCAAGCTGGCCTTGACATTGTAATCCTCCTGCCTCAGCCTCCTGAGTACCTGGAATTACAGGCCTGCATCATCAGGGCTGGCTCTATAATTAATACTGTTGTCCCAAGTAATGGCACTACCTCCAATAACACAATAGGTTAATGGAATCTTTAATTTTCTTATTCTTTTTGAACCAGTGCCTCACTGTGCTGTCCTGGCTGACCTGGAACTTACTTTGTAGGCCAGGCTGGTCAAAGTCAAAGACACTGGCCTTTCCCTCCCTCCTGAGTACTGAGTTTAATGGCATGCACTATCATGCCTGGCTCAATAGAACTGATTTTGTTTCTGTTAATTCTCACAGCAAGACAACCAGCTTTTAATTACTGATGCCCATTAGAATACAGCGTTTAGGCAATCCATTTTTGTTTTGTTTAGTTTTGTTTTAACCAGGAAATATTGATGAGCTCAACTAGGTTTTTATGTTTCCCCTTCCTCCTTCCCATCAATAAAAGGTGACTATTCAAGTCTAGCAAAGTGAAGAAGATAGGGAGGATTGTGTTGCATAAGGAATAATAAGGAGGGAGATCGGGCATGGTTTCTCTTTAAGCCACAGATGGGAAACACTTAGTCCTTCCTACATTGTAATATTCCATCATCAAGAATCACTTACATTTGTGGCGCTGGAGAGCTGGCTCAGAGATTAGGAGCACTGGCTGCTCTGTCTCAGGACCCATTTTCATTCCCAGCACCCACATGGAGGTTCACAACTATGTGTGCTCAGACACACATGCAGACCAAACACTCCCACTCATAAAAATAAAATAATATACTTTTCAGAAGAATAAATTAAAAATAGCAAAATGTATTGAGTAAGGTCCTGGGGGGATTTCTGTCCAAGCTGTCATGGGCCACTTAGAAATACCACATGCTCAAGTAGAAGAACCACTTTCTCCAGAATGTTGTAAATTCCCCTGGAATTTGGCAGGCATGAAAACAGACACACTTAGGACTTACTCTCCATTTGCTCTTTGCAAAATTCTTCCGGATCTGGGCACTGACGGATTCATGAATGTTTTTGTTCAGGGCGGTGTCACCAGCAATCCTGAAACACAGGCAATGAGACTTCCTCAAAGAGTCTTCATGTGCTTGGCCACTGAGTCTTGTGCTGCTTTTCCTGGAAGCTTCACTCTACCCCCAGGGAAACTGAAGCTGATGGAGGGTGGCTAGCTGCTGTCCTTCTAGGCTGGTTAGTTCCCTAGATGAATTATCCTTAAGCTCACACATGCCAAAAGCTCCACGCCCCATAGTACATTCCATATTCTACTCCTTTCCAGGATCTGCCCACGCCCTATTGATGTACTCTCTACCTGTCTCTCATGCTTTTCCTCTTTTGAACCCAATCCCAGCAACATCAGAATCCATGCCAGCTTGGAAAGGGGAGTGCATGTCCTCTCTCCTCACCAGCATTAACCCTTCAGAACTTCTCCAATCTCTTCCTTTTGCTCCTTAGGGGGTCCTGGTTTCTTGTTTTCTTGTAGACAAGGTCCCCAGACACTGCCACCTCCAATAACTTTAGATCAGCTTGGCTCATGTTCTAGAAAGTTCTTCTGACTCCCAGAACCATGTCCACTCTATATTCATGGTTACAGGTGGTTTTATTGGAGCTCTTGCTTCTTTCTAAGCCCTCCCCCACCCCACCCCCACCCTTTTTCATCTTGCATCTCACTCTGCTTACAATTCCCTTCTGAGCAGTCAGGCATCCCCTAAGGTCACACATAGCATGGACCATCCTTCTCTGCCACACACCCTTGTCTCACATCAATACTATCTTCTATATATAACTGATTTTTCCTCTAGGTCGGGGAAATCTTCCTTCTGCTCTAAGCCTTCCCTGGAATTTGACCTTTCCACTTTTCTTCCTAAACTGTTCAATTCTAGGTTGGCCTCTGGTGTCTGTGAAAGAAGTTATTGATCTTGAGAAAGCTGCAAGGCAGGTTTCAGAGTCCTGGACTACCTTTCTGGACAGAAGGTACTGGACAGAAGGCCTGCTATAGAAGAACATCTTTAACCATCAGACCTGGACTGCCCTGGGCATAAAACAGGCCCACACTGCATGCATAATGCCATGCTCAATGGTCATCAGTATGAAAGGAACAAGCTCTGGGCTTGCTGAGACCAAGGCTCATCCTTCCCAACCTTTCTTTCCCTGTAGAACATCCTGTGATCCAGGAACTAGACTGAATCTGTGCCAGACTGGTATCCCAGCTCACAGCAGCCTCCTCCTGCATCCCTAAATACATCCCCCTCTCTTCCAAGAAGGGACCAAAGGATGCTCAGAGATGAACTGAAGTGAACCAAATTTCCACTTTGAGCAGTTCCCAATTGCCCCCCTTCCTTAGGCACATGTCAGCAAAACAGAAACAGCATATGTGAATGAGCAAACGGAAACAGGAGGAGTGAGCACGTTCTGGGAACTGGAGACATCTTAGTGAAGCTGTCACTCTTTTGGAGTTCATAGGGATGTTTCCTTCCATGCCACATAGGATATATGTGTGAGCACATGTAGTGTGCGTGAGCATATGTGTGTGTGTCTGCACGCACCTGCATGCGCGGGTGTGCACGCATGTGCGCACATGTGCGTGCAATTGTGTATGGAAGATCAGAGGTTAACCTTAAGTGTCATTCCTTCGAGCCATATTTATTTTTTTATTTATTTTTTGTAAGACAGGTCTCTTCCTGGAATCTGGGGCTCATCAATTACACTATGCTAGCTGGCCACGAAGCCCCAGAAATCTTCCTTCCTGTCTTCCTGCCAGCAGTGGTAATTCAGGCATAGACCACCATGCCTGGAAGGTCCTGCTTGGGTAACTAGCACTTTATGATCCTCTGTATTATCTATAACAGTTATGCCTTCAGAAAATGATGTTAATTCTAATGAATCTGTGATCATCTCTTTCTTGGAAATAACTGGGCCAAAAAGATAGGAAGTGTGCTGAGTACTGCTTCCGGCCAGAACTGGTCCAAACTGAACAGTTTGGGGAGGTGGTCCAGAGAACATCATCGCACGTGCTTCAGGAGCCTGGTCTCCCAAGCCCGAGCCGGAGCCTGCTGCCTGATCACTGCTTCCCATGCCTCCTGGTGGGTTATTGTAGGACAAGATCTAAGGAAAATGCTGTCTGAGTTATTTTAGGAAGGTTTCCTGCCCACTTCCCACAGTCCTCAGCTGTGCTGCATGTGGGTCAGAGTCTAGCTGGCAGCTTGTGGCTCAGCAGTACTGGGTACTTTCAGGCAGTCTTCGAAGTGGCTGAAGTCCAAGTGTGCTATCCAATCTACTATCTGGACAGCTATGAATATACAAGGAGAAAATTCTGTCAGCATTGCATGACTCTTTAGGTCAGTCATTAGGCGTTTATTGGGGCTTTTCTTTTCTATTGGGCAAGAGGGAAATGCCTCTTTGTAACAGTGGGTCCTAGTGTAGACCATTATGACTTAGTGAGTGTTACTGTATTTCTCGTTTTATGTCAGAATGCTACTTTGTTTCTTCTATGTTGCTGATATTTCACCTTTTAATCTTCTCTATTTTGGAATCTAGTGCTTTTCCAAGATCACGTTTACTGTTATAATCTTTCAAGGCCAGCATTTTGTAAATCTGGCTTCAAATCAGGGCCTAATGTTTTTAAGTAGTTAAGCCCTGTTTATTCACAGCTCTCATCAGTATTAGGCAAACTAACTGCATGGATAGAGTAATGACTTTGTGTGTACACATGTGCATGGAGGCCGGAAGCCAATGAGTGTGTCTTCCTTACTCACTTTCCAGCTTATTTTTTGAAAGAAAGTCTCTCTCACTAGACCTGGATCTTTCCAGTTCAGCTAGACTGGCTGGTCTGGGAGCTCCAGGATGGATGCTCCTGTCTCCACCTCCCCAGCACTGGGAATGTAAGCAGGCAAAGCCATGCCAGCGTTTTGTAGTACTATGGGATAGAACTTAGGTCCTCATGCTGGTGAGTGTGTGTGTGTGTGTGTGTGTGTGTGTGTGTGTATGTGCATGTGTGCATGTGCTTGTGTGTGCAGACATGCATGGCTTATGTTTCAGACATGTTCTACTGTCTCTAATTCTGCCAATTGGTTCCAAATGGGCTTGGTGATGTCTGGTATACTTCCCAACCATAGTCTTTTGACCACTTCTCAATTCCCATTGCCAAGCAGAGTCCATGTGTCTGGGATCTTGTAGAGGGATGGAGTCTCAGTCAACATTCAGGGGTATGATGGTTAATTTTATATGCCAACTTGGCTAGGGCATAGTACATGCTAATTTGAACACAGGCTAATTTCCATGTTTTAATGAAACATTTAGATACTATTAGTAGATTTTGAGTTAGTCACATCACATGGGTAAGCCTTATCCATCAGTTGAAGGCTTTTGGGAAAAATGAAGAGACTCTGTCCTAAGATGCTAGCTGCTACATTCGCTGTTCCCTGGGTCTCTCTACTCATTTTCAATTTCCTAGACTCCACAACTATACAAGCAATTGTCTTGATTCTTTAAAATAAATTTCTCTCATGCTGATTGACTTAATTTGCTTGTCATTAAGCCAGAGATAAATATTCAGGGCAATCTGACCTGGAAATGAGTCCCCACAAGTGCTGCTGTGAAGTAGGGATGGACTCCTATCCTGCTGTCCACCAATTCCTGCACTTTGGCCACCGGTGAACAGTGTGCATGTTCCTTATAAGGTCTCAGCAAGAGAAAGGCAAAATCCCAAATGTGAGCGGGCCCTCAAATAGCTGCTAAATGGTACTGACTAGGTTCCACAAGAAAGAGCCCTATTCTGTCTGGGGTGGTCTGTTCTGAGGTTCAGGAAAGCATATGTACTTCCCAAGGATTCTTCTAACCCTGGGTGGCTTGGGTAAAGAGGGACAAACAAGCATGGGCTAACATGAAGCTCTGGGTGTTTGAATGTGTATGAACAAGCATGGCTAACATGAAAGGGGCTTGAGTGTGTATGAACAAGTGTGGACAAACATGAAGCTCCGGGGGTTTGAGTGTGTATGAGCAAGCATGTACTAACATGAAGGAGATTTGAGTGTGTGTATAAACAAGCGTGGATGAATGTGAAGCTCCGGAGTTTGAGTGTGTGTGGACAAGCATGGACAAGCGTGGACTAACATGAAGCTCTGGGGTTTGAGTGTGTGTGAGCAAGCATGGACAAGTGTGGGCTCATGTGAAGCTCTGGGGTTTGAGTGTGTGTGAGCAAGCATGGACAAGTGTGGGCTCATGTGAAGCTCTGGGGTTTGAGTGTGTGTGAACAAGCATGGACAAGCGTGTGCTAACATGAAGCTCTGGGGTTTGAGTGTGTGTGAACAAGCATGGACAAGTGTGGACTAACATGAAGCTCTGGGGTTTGAGTGTGTGTGAACAAGCATGGACAAGCGTGGACTAACATGAAGCTCTGGGGTTTGAGTGTGTCAGGAGCACAACTCTGAGAACAGTGAAGTCGGTAAGGCTCCACTGCATGCATTCCTCTAGCTCTGCTGGTTCCAGCTGGACCCACATTTTCCTTTGCCTGCCTGGGCAATTTTCCCTTGTGGAGACAAGCACACCACAATGCAGGGAAGTGTGGGGCCTGAGTTATGCTTGTATCAGATGTGTGTGTTATTACTCCTGCTGTCTGGCTTCCTGAGCACTTGGAAATACAGTAAAAATGGAAGAACTTGTTTGTCATGAGCCTTCTGATTAGGAAACTCTGGGTGGCACAGCCCTTGCGCTTCTAAGGATGACTTTAAATCTTTGCCACCAGCTTGACACCCTCTGCTGTTGCCCTTCTTCAGACAATGAAGGGCATTTACTGTGGCACCAGATCTTTCTGGCTAGAGCCCTGGCTTTGCCACTAAGTGGCTGAGGTATCTTTACTTGGTTACTATTTCCTTATCTTTGAAGGGAACAGAAAACCTACTTCCCAGGGTTATTGGAGAGAAAAAAAGGAGTGAACACATTAAAGCAAGCAGCAGAGTTCCTGGAACAAAAAGAGACTCAATGAACTGCAGGGCAGGAGTGACGAATTAGAATTCCGTGAAACTAGGTTATGACACTGCTTCTAAGCGGGTCCCCTGAAGAGGGTTAACAGCTTGGAGGGAAGGCTTTAGAAGATGACAAGCCAAACACAGAACAGTTTTCTGTGGTGTTCCTTGGGGGAATTTTCTCCTGAACAATTCAAGGTTCTCTGTGTGTGCATGTGTATGTGCACATGTGTGCTGAGGGTGGGGTGAGGTGGGGGTGGTACATACTAGGCAAGGGATCTACCACTGGGCTACACCCCATTGCCTCTGCGTTCATTATACTGTGTGCTCTAGCTTACATGTTAAATATGATCAAAGGTAGCTGTTTAAAGTTTAGTCCTTAGCTTGGCATTATTGGAAGGTGATGAAAATCATTGCAAGGTGGGGCCTCATGAGAGATCTTTAGTTCTTGGGGAGCCCTTGAATAGAACTATGGCCTGCTGATCTCTTTCTCTTGTTTCCTGGCTCCACCATGGATTCCCATTGCTTGTTAAAGGCTTTGCCACAACAGCACCAGCTGAAACCTCTGACACTGTGAGCCAAAAAGAAAACTGTTGTCTTTTTAAGTTCATCATCTCAGCTATTTTGTTACAGTAACAGAAATCCAAGTAACCCATTGATTATCTTTTTCTACTCTTGGGTACTTGTTTCAAAGTGGATGCTCCTGGGCCTATAACAAACCAGTTAGTTACTCTATCTAGACCTGGTGTGAGTCTCTTTAAATGCACTAGCTCCACTTTTTCTTATGTTAACTTAGTAAATTAGGACCATCACTCTAATTAAAAGTGAGAAAGCTGAGACCTAGCAAGCCATGTGTAAACCCAAAGTCACACTTAGCTGTCGGCTAATTTGGGCTCCAAGCTTACAACATAAATGCAACACTCACAGTGTGTGGAATGCCATAAAGCACCAGTGAGTCTCTTTAGAGTTCAAGAAACACTAATTGGGGGAAAATATCACCTGAAAAAGTATGTGTGTGTGTGTGTGTGTGTGTGTGTGTGTGTGTGCACATATATAATACACACATATGTATATATTCCAAGATGTACACTTAATGCCTTGGGTATTTTCCTTTGACAAAAGTGATCCCCAGAACCATCTATAAAATGAAAAGCTACCTGCTACTTTGGATTCACTTAACTTCTGAGTGTTATTTTGAAAACTGTATCCTGAAGGCACCCAAAAGTACAAACATGGGCTTGGGAGATGAGGGATGCCCCTGTAGGGATGAGGTGCAGTGAACACCTCATGACTAAGAGTAGCCAAGGAAAAGTCTACTAGGGGAGAATGTGGGTGAGCAAGGCCCTCCCGAAGGTGACCTTTCTTACCATGGGTGCCGAGCTGCCTGCTCGCAAGTGTATCGTTTATTTGGGTCTTTCTCCATCAGATTCCGAATGAAGTCTTTTGCTGTTCAAAAAGAAAGCATGGGGAACAGAATCACTTGGAGGGTTGAAATGTGATGACAGGATACCCTTGTGTTTTAATTATGTGTGCCATTAAAAAAAAGTGAGACTGATTTTTACCTCCCCCATTGTACCTTGAACACACACAAAAAAAAAAAAAAAAAAAAAAAAAAAAAAACCCACCAGTGTTTAGATAAAAGAGAGATCCAGTGAATGAGAAGGTGGCAGAGGCAGGCTGGGACTCTGACTTCTGGCTCTAAGTTCTCTCTTGCTAGCTACTAATGACACCTTTGGTCTGGAAAATAATCACATGCTCTTCAGTTCACTGTTGTCTTAGAGAGATGCTTTGGGGGCATCCCCTGAATGTGTTATGGACATCACTGGTTCTACTATACCCACAGAGGAGCTGCAAAGCCACCAGGTAATGGGGACAGATATGGGGGACACCCAAGAGGAGCATCTGTATCACACTTGAGCTGTTACTACTCAGTGAGTGAAATGTTACAAAGAAGCAGCAAGATGTACTCTGATGTGGTAGAGAGGCTTTTATCACCATGGGGAGGGCCAAGCTCAGAGTAGGACACTGAGAATGGGAGGGACAGGGTCACAGAACCCAAAACTGATACTATATGCCAGCTTGGAACTGTTGCCCTACAGAGCATGGCAGCTTGCTGCCCATGGGTCTGAGCTCCTAGAGGAAGCTTCTGGCATCTAAGCTCCAAAGCCTAGTATTCCCTGTGGGGTCAACTGCAGGTTGCTGAAGGTTGAGGTGGTTGAGGTTGGTTGAGGAAATAGGCAAGGGAGTCCCAGTTAGGAGTAAATAATACAATAATAAAAATGGTCTGTTCAAACAGCTCGACAGAGAGTGCATTCACCTCCCTTCTCCCTTCTACAGTTTTCCCTGCTTCACCGGGGTCTGGTTTTGCTCTTCATACCCCATGATGATGAGCTTCTCAGAATGGCATATTGTGTCTCAAACATGGGCTGCAGACAATGAACTCATGACCTCAGATAAGACATCTCCATTGTGCAAACCGTGACTACTCAATACAAGAATGTTTTGCTGAGGATACATGACTTTACAAATGCAGTCTTGTCATAAAAAGTGGGCTTCGGGAAAACTGGGGTTTAAAATCCAAGTTCTGCTATATACTGACTCCATAAACTAGGACAGGTTATTTTACCCCTGGGCTTTACTTTCATTATCTGTCACATATGGATAATATAAATACCCATCCCATGGGTCATCTGGAGGACTGGGTGAGTTAGCATATGTGGAGCACTTCTAGCACCTAATTGGTATTCATCAAGTGCCAGATAATAATATTTCATCCCTAGAGCACCCGTATCAGGGAGAGGTAGGTGAGCAAGTCTACATCCCTTGGACAGGGTAATATATCTCAAACCTGTTATCCAAGTCAAGCCCAAAGATATAGTTCATAGAGCTTTCTCAGGAATGACCTATAGACTGAATGCTGGTGGACACCATAATTCCTTTGTTGAGATCCTAACTCCCATGATGAGGGCATCTGAAGTGGCCCTTTGGGAGGTGGTGATCAGGACACAAAGGCAGGGCTCTCATGAGAGACATGAGTGTTCTTATGACAGAAACTCAGAAAGCCTTTCCCCTTCAGAATTATGCAAAGTAAATGTTTGGTATTTAAGCTATACAGACTGGCATTTTGTTACAGTAACCCCAGTAGAAGAAGACAGAAGCTTTGGGACCATTCTGAGCCCAAGGGTCCTCAGGATTCTACTTTAGGTCATCTGGATAGAAATGCCATAAAAGACCCACCAGAGTCAGAGATGTCATCCCAGTAGGGGGAATCAAACTCATATTCTGCCTTGAGGATCTGTTCAAACAGCTTGGAGTCATTTTCATCATAAAAAGGAGGGTAGCCACAGAGCCTGCAAGACAAGAGGGAATGAGATTAGAGTATTCACAGCCACTGTGCTAGGTTTATACTTTGCCTGGAAGGAAGATGCATGATCCATCAATCAAATTAAGGGAACCCACACTGAGTGTGCTGAAGTTAAATCTCAGTGAAGGAACCACGTCCTCTACACATGAACATGCCCACAAAAGTGAAAATGTGACCTCCTAAGCAGCAAAAAGGTTAACTTCATCATGGTCAAAGGCAAACACACGTATCCAAAATTCTACCATAACTCTTTCATTTTTGTTTTTATTTATTCGTGTGAACCTATGATGTTTTATGATGTGTTTGTAAGGGCACACATGTGCCACAGTGAACAAGTGTGGGGTTGAGAGGGTACTTCTTGCTTACCAGATTTCCATGGTCTCTGGAGATTGAAATGAGGTCACAAGGCTTTTACAGTGGAGACTTTTATGTGCTGAACCACCTTGCTACCCCTCATAACATTTTACATGGTGTTAACTAGAATCTCATGAAAGTTACCAGGAAATCTTCCATGTATAGCTATTATTAATCGTATCTATAATACTTCTCCTGACTGACAGGCTGGTGAAAAGAACAAACAAAATGCATAGTTGATGGAATTTCTAGACCCTTTGGGTTCATTCTATCTAGGAACTTGTTAAGGAAGAAGAGAGAATTTTACAACCTAGATATCAAGTTGCTAGGACTCATCCTGACCTGTGTGTTATCATTCTACCAAGTAGGAATCAGAATAGGAATCAGGAATACTACCATTTCTTTTCATTACAATCAACAAATATCCACAGGAGGCAGCTCAAGTTACCACATTGAAGAATCACAGTACCCCAGTCAAAGTACCAATGTGACATTTCAAAGACAGCTTCTCAATGGTCCAATTAGGATGTTGCTAGAAATAAGTTAGAGCTATGGAGAGACCAAGGGTCATCTGGCAACCATAGCAGGAACAGACATATACATTAAATTCAACTACCACAAGTCAATTAGCGACACTGTAGATTCTGGGCATGGGCATGGAGCTCAGAGGTGGAGTACATACTTAGCACCTGAGAGACTAATAAATAAAATAACAATAAATTAAAATGAAAAAGTCATGATTTCTCTTTCCATTTTTGCTCTCAGTTCCAGTGTTATCTTTACTGCCAGGAGCCACTAATGTATTTCAGGGATCAAAATTTCATCTCACTATATAGGTGGCCAGAGTAGAAAATTCCATGTATATAATAGTTTAAAGCTACATACTTCTGTAACTATTATCTTGTAGTTTTTTTCTTTCAATCTTATAAAACACTTAGGAAAAGATCAGAACATGCCTGGGGCCCATTTAGGGCAGGGTTGGAGGGACCACAGAACCAGACAGGGTAGGGTCAAGGCATTAAGTGACCCCAGAGCAGAAGACAATAGTGCTTGACTCTAGAAGCCCAAGAGCCAAACTTTGTTGTGAATATGATTCCTGGGGCCAGAATATGGCAACCATGGTGGGAGGCCTGACCCCAAACTGAGGCTTGACCCCAAGCCAAGATCCATTCTTCCCACACAGTTCAATATTGTTCCAAACATAGCAACAGCCTAGAGAGCAGTTTAATGAGAACAAACGAACAGGCATCCACAGACTGTAGATCTGTAGGGATTTGCTGTTGGTTCCTAACAAACACAATAAAGGTCCAGCCATTTTTCATTTGTCCTGCCACCAGGGGCACAGCTGTGGCTGACTGCAGAAGGGAATGGGCGATGACAGTTGTCAGGGCCAGGAGACATTCTGTGGGCTGCGAAGGTTCTACATCATCTAACTCACAAGCATGTTTTAGAGGCTGAATGCCTGGAAATTTCATTTGTAAAGATCTGCTGTGGTGGGCAAAATAAAAGAGCCAGTGCTTTGGAAACCACCAAGTACATACTTCACAACCCAAGGAAACCCTAGGGCCTCCGAGAGAGGGATATGCAAATTTTTTCCATACTGAGGATTTGGATAAAATAAAATGTGTGCATTAGGAAAAGCCAACAGAGCAAAATGTTAGTTTGTCTTGGAAAAACCTCTACATGCTAGATATGTGAGCTCTTTGTTTGTTAACAGCTGAGTGTGTTTTTGCTTTATGGCTTGCCATTCGTCTCAAGAAAAAAAATGTTCAAAATTTTCAGGCAGGATTTCTTCTTGTGCCAATTTTCTTAATGTATATTCCAATTTCTTTTCATTTTTAACTCCCCCCCCCCATTTTACACAGAGAACAGTTCGTGCAGGTGTTCTGAGGAATGGAGAGAAGGAAATGAATCTATCTTGGGGCCTGAGTTAAAACTAAGAAAGAGATGGTTGAGGTCACGACTCAGTGAGGGCAGTGCTTGCTATGCAAGCCTGATGGCCTGAGTTTGAATCCCCAGAACCCAGATAAAAGCTGGACCAGCATCTTGCCTGCCTGCCTGCCTGCCTGCCTGCCTGCCTGCCTGCCTGCCTGCCTGCCTGAATCCTAGCACTCCTGTAGAAAAAAACCAGAGGCTGTGCAAGGGTTACTCTTTTCAGATGTTTCCCCATCAGCCCTTTCAGAGATGCTCTGCCTTATCCCTGGACACTGCCCTGTGTAGAATGTGAATGAAGATGGACATTATTGACCTCAGTGGGATGCCAGTGGATGAGGACCACAGAAGGGCTGCTGAAGGGGGGTGGTAGGATGGGGGATGTGGAATCAAAGATGGTGTGCTGCCCTGGGCCTCTCTAGTTTGGCTCTTGGGCTTATGCTCCTGAAAAGAAGGATATTTCTCTTCTCCTGGGGGCAGATTCTAATGGGTCTTACCCCAATCCTGGCAATCCATGCTTCCTTTTCCTCCTTGCTATGCCTAGGGGTGATTATAGCTCAATAGCAACCAAGTCCAAGGTCACAAGGATCACAGGATTCCTGTGGTCTTCACACACCACCTTTATTTTAAAACAGATTAACAGTACACAAAGTCATGACCCAAGCCAACCCCTCTGACTCCAGGTCTGTATTCTGTACTATTGGGCTCAACTGGTAAAGGAAACGACTTGAGACCCAAATCTCCCACTTCAGTCTTTGACTTCTGTGTAGGTCAGTTGGCCTGTACCCACCCAACACCTTTACCTGGAAGAACTCCGGAATGTGAGTCTACCTTTTCAACCCTTCTCATTCATTCTGGGAATGTGTTAACCAAGATGCTTCAGGCTACTTTCCTGCATTATTGTAACTGGGCCATTATAACCTTGTGCACTTTATCTGGGCTCCCCCTTGCTCCATTCTTCCACACTTTTGAAAACTAGCTGGAGTGGAAAATGAAGAGCTGACCTCTCTCTGACAGGTACTCAGTAACATGCAGGGCTGCAGCAGGCCACATCCTCCCTGGGCACAGCTCTGATCTGTTCACACACACCTAGGACAGGACCTCATCTTTGCTTTTGGATTGTCAGGGTCTGGGCCAGGACCTGCCTAGAGGGTGTTATAGATAGATGTCAGGCACACACACATGCATGTTGGCTATTAAAACCCCTGGTTGAACTCAGAAGCAGAGACAATGGCTCAAGATACAGGCGCGTTCACCAGTGTCCTATCCTAGAAGAGCTAGGGAGACCTCAAAACCAGCCAGCCAAGCTATTCAGACATTCTAGAAGAACCTAATGCACAATCACCCCCACCCCAGGGCAAATTTTCTGCCTTTGCAGGAGAATAAGGTATGATTTGGGTTTTTCCAATGGTGCTCCTGGCCACAGATCCATACTGTTAAGGTGGTTTTTCCATTGAGGATGCTAATTTAAATGGGTGTGAAAATCAGCAATGAATGGCCAGCTATGGGTGATCTGGCAGGGTGAAGTTTTTCTTGGAGACTGAAATGCTGTAATAGCATAAAATCTCCTGTCAAGATGCCCGTGAGTTCAGCGTGGTCATTACCCTACTTTAAGTTATGTTCTTTGCACTGTTAACCCTTGGCCATGGATCTACATATCCGGAAAAGATAATGTTTGCCACAGGGATGCCCAAAGCTAATTCTTTTGTTCTTTTGTTTCCACAATCCACCTGTGTTTTGGCCTAACTTTTGTACCCCTTAAATTATGTACTTTGGGGTCTCTTTTGATACCAAAGATGACTACTAAGGGGACAAGAAGAAGTGGGGATCAGAAGTAGTGGAGAGACAAGTACCAGCATGCCTGAGAGCAAGGAGTGACTTAAAATTTTTAATGTACTTTACTTTCTTGTGATAAGAATACATGAGAGCATCTCTCCGAATATTTAAGGGAGTAATATAGTTTCGTTGACTGTTGCTTTTGGGTATAACAGTGTCTTCCTGTTGTGATTTGCATTTGAAATGCCCCCCAGAGTCTCATGTGTTTGAACAGTTGATTCCCTGCTGGTGGTGTCATTTTGGAAAGTTCTGACACCTTTAGGAGCTTCATTGAGGAAAGTGGTCCACTGGGGTTGGACCTTCAAGTTTTATAGCCTAGCCCCGTTTCCTCTATGTTTTCTGCTTCCTGACTGCAATATAGTATGACTAGTTACTCACTCCCCTGTCACTAATACCATCTCCAAATTGTAAGCCCAAATACACCGTTTTTCCTTTCCATTGCCTCTTGCCAGCTATTTGGCCATACAAACAATAATAATGATTAATATATTTCCCAAAAGGCTCATGTGTCGAAGCCTTGATTCTAAGATAGTGCCTCAACTGATAGGTGGGCAGCTCATTACCGTGTTAACTTCATCATCTGGCTTGTCGATTGAGGAGTCCCTAGCTGAATGGGCTACTAGGAGGTGGCTGTAGGAAGCAGGTCACTGGGGGCAGCCTTCAAGGTACATCCTGTCCCCAGCCTTGTCCTATTTCCACGTCTGCTCCCCATTTCCTGTGAATGTTTCCAGAAGATTGCTTGGCTCCACAGCATGCATATGTGTGTGGATAGGGTACTAGGATTCAGTAGGGTACCTGAATAATGAGAAAAGAGCCAGAGGCCTAGGCAAGAATTGTTACTGGGGTTTTCTCCCTGATTGTGCC